TTCAGTGGACTCTTTCACATCAATGGCCATAAATAGAATATCTTGATGCTTAGATAAAGCATCTTCAAGAATTGCCATTAATCCTTCATTGTTTTCTGTGACTAAATTGTTATAGGTTGGAATACCCATCAAGTAATTTTTACCAGAGTAACGAATTACTTGTCCTTTCATTTTATCTTTTTCAGCCTTTGGCTGAAAAAGAGCGGAGCTGTCCAAATTTTCTGAAAGCTCAGATTGGGTCATAGTATTTTTAGATAACTTTTAAAAGGTATACTATATCCTAAACTTAGAATATATTGCTCTGAAAAAAAAGTTTAAATAAAAATAATTATAGAAATTTAAGAAATATCCAATGAGAGATGAATTTATCTGCCAATATCTTTCTAATGAAGGAAACATGTGTAGACGGGTTTGTGATTGACAAGAGGAGTACAAAATCTATTAGAAAAGACATTAGCGAAGCCTTTGCAAACAATATGGAAAACCCACGGCGTCAATGCATGGGATGTGTAATTTATATGTAGATAAGTATCATTTAAAAACATATTATTATAGAAAGAAGCTAAATGCCTTAGAAAAATCTGTCTTAGTGTCCTAGAAAAAATCTGCCCTAGAAAGTTTTTGACTTCCAGAGGCAGAAGAAAAATAGCAAATTAACTTTATTGGGTTGCTAGAATGGTTTCTCAAACACTCTGCCCTAGATGCCCTAGATGACCTAGAAAATATCAGACTTTTTTACTTTTTATTTTTATTTTTTATCTATGGGTATAGCGAAAATATAGTATATATATAGTATATATATAGCATATCAATATATATACCAAAAAGATACTATAGAAAAAACTCATTTTTTTTCTTTAGAACTTTATTTTTTTCTAGAGCACCTAAGGCATCTAGAGAAGATAATACAGAAACAAGTTAAAATGAAAAAAGAGCACTTTCTTCTATAACAAACTCTGCCTTAGGAAGTGACCCAGTAAAAATTTTAATATTTTTCTTAGAGCAGAACTACAATATCGCACTTTTTGGTAATCAAATGGGTCGGCCATAGTAATGTTATCATGACTCTAATCCTCTAACTACCAGGACCTTGAAAGTGACAAGAAAGTGTCAGAAATTAAAGAGTAAATTATGATAATTTTGGCTAGTACTATTCTATAAATTCAGCCAGAACTTTGAATACAATAACTTGGCAATTCTTGAAGATGCTTTATCTAAGCATCAAGATATTCTATTTATGGCCATTGATGTGAAAGAGTCCACTGAA